CTTTACCTGACAATACAAGACAGAGCTTACTTTACTTCAGACAGGTTAATCTGCTTTATTTTCAAGCTGACGCAGAACCTGTTTTTAATTGAATGTTAGTCTTCGGATTCAAATAAACAGCTCTCATGAAAATATAGAATTATGAAAATGGGCAAATCCAACTGCCCCAATTTTAAGTGGGACACAGGTTCATGAAATCAGTACATCAGCACTTCAAAAAACACTACTAATAACCACTGATTGTTAATTCTTTAAGAATATGGGAGAAAGCATCAGGAGGGAGAAGGAAGCTTTATAAAATGAAATTTCTTGCAGAAAAGGAAAGATAATTACAAATATCAGTTTTGTTAATCATCTGAGTGGCAAGCTAATGCCCTCTGAAAGAAGACTCCAAAGATAATCATGGCAGTAGCAACACCAGGTCCCATCAAGGACACCTGGCTGAAGAAACGCTGTCGCCACGGAGCCACAGGGAAGCTCACCACAGCCACCCAAACCATAGTGGCTAACAACATCTAAAGATGTCACCACCTACTCACAACATGACTTTGTTGTCCGGTTTTCACAGATGCGATTCCATTTGGAGCTCTCCCAACACCACAGTGTTTCAATGGCCCTAAAAATGTGCTAAAGATAAGTATTATAACCCCAGAAAATATGAGCCTTTCTTAGCCCCTGCACCTTCTCTGAAGAGGAACTGCGACCACCCAGTGTTCAGTGTGAATTAGAGGGTTTTCTGGCTCAGCTGTGGAAAAGAAAAAGGGGGTGCTATTGTATTTTCCTGTCACCGTGCATATGAAAAAGCTATTAACATGAAGGGAAGCTTTACGTGAGCCTTAGAAAGGAAATCCTCAGAACTATGAAGAAATCATCTCAGCTGAATTTAGTTGACTCATTCCTATATTACACATGTGTAAGAAAAGGATTAAGCGTTGTTCAATCACAAAATGTTTCTTTCTAGATTTCACTTTAAGGCAGTCATGCTTAGCAATTTCAAACTTATACATGGTTTTAATGGTTTCATCCTCTTAGTCTCTGACAAAATATTTAAATCCAGGTTGATTTCTAAGGGGGGAAAAAAGGACTTCAAAAACAGAAATCAAGACAGACAAGTATATTGGGAGATAACAGGCAATAGGTAGTGCTAAAAATGATCACACTACACTTTAGAAATTAACCTTCAGCCAAATTCTACCAGTAGACCTATGGATAGGATCTCAGATAAGCTAGCTAAATAAGGAACAGCATAGAAGTGATAACCAGGTAAGAAGTTACAAGGCTATGTGAGCAGTGTCTTTCTGAGAATCTGCAAGGTATTTGCACATCTACTGTATCCACTGTAGTCTTTGCACTGACATTCCACTGAAGGTTGATCATGAAATTGTGAGGTGTTATTGCATTACTGATAACCTGAAAAAAAGTAAGGCCCTTTTAAAATCATTGTACATTCAGCATAGTACTTCTACCAGAGCTAAAGCTAAGAAGTAAAATAATGAGAAAGGTTTTCTTATCCTCATAGCTGATTCCATACTCAAATGCAAATCAGAACTAAGCCACCACATTTGACAAGCACCCATTGCACTTCTAAGTTTTCTTTAAAAAAAAAAAAACAAAACAGAAAAGGAATGAAAGGAGATAGAAAAACAAATCAATCTAAGGTAAATGGGGAAGGTAACTGGATAATGAAGAAGAAAATCTTCCATAGCAACAAAATAGAAGAGATTATTTATGTAGATTTACAAGCAGATGAGCTCCAGATGTTTGTTTTTTTTTTATCTACTTCTTCCCAGGTGCTTTTCTGCTTAATAAATATAACATCCAAGTTGGAATGTTGTTGAGGCATTGAATCACCTAAATTTTGGCTATGCTCTTCTGCCGTTAACTATTTTGAGCTATTTCTCAATAAGGCAGCCACTACTGAAATCGTAAGTACATAGGCTTGGCAGAGCCAGAGAGAAAAAGTGCAGTCCACAGATTTGTTTCTTCTGTTTTCCCAAAACAGAATCTCATAAAAAATATGCCCTCAAATTTTGTCACTATGTTGCTGTCAAAGAAATCCTTCTCCTCTTCATAACTCTGAACATTAAACCCATAGTTCTTATGCTACTGGGAAGTTATATGGCTCCAGGAAGTGGAGAGGCACCACTGCAACTGTTCAAATTGTAGCCAGGCAGAATAATCAGTCAATCAGAAACTTCGGTTCCATTCGGATGGAAGTTTTTGGGGCCAACTTGGAAAAGCATACAGAACAAGTTTGACTTTACTGCCAAGATCATTTCCAGGACATTGGCTAATTAATTATAAAAGCTTTTTCAAAACAAATTTGAGCCTGGCAACCTTTTTTTCCTACCCAGAAGAAAAAAAAAGAGAGAGAGATTAAAAAATAAAAGCCTGAGTTTAGTGTGTGTGTGTTTGTGTGTGTGTGTGTGTGTGCGTTTGCCATAGCTTCATCTTCTTTACACACCTTTTTTCTTCTTCTCACCCTAAAATGATCCAGAAGCTTTTGCATTTGAAGTTACTAAAATAGTAAGTACAGAAACTGAAAAATATTAGTTTGAATTCCTAATTTGCCTTTGATTATAGATAAGATCATGGGTCAGTTCCAAACCTTCTCTTCAAACTCTTTGGTGGGAAGCAAAAAATAGACTTTCTCCCTCTTTGTGGGATGAAGAGCTCATTGGATTAGCTGCAGTTACTGTAACAGATACAATGCAGATGGACAGTTGCTCTTAAAATGATATATTGTGTTTTGTTAAGAACATACAGTAGGGATGCCTGGGTGGCTCAGTCAGTTAAATGTAGGACTCTTGGTTTCAGCTCAGGTCATGATCTCAAGGTCCTGGGAGGGAGCCCTGCTCAGTGTCCAGTATGCTTCCCCCTCTCTCTCTGCTCCTCCCCCTATTCACACTCTCAGTTTCTCTCTCTCTCCTTCAAATAAACAGTCTTTTTTTTTTTTTTTTTAATGATATATTCAACAGCCTTCACTTCCTGGCTTTGAAAACAAAAGGAACAAAACTCCTGATTTAAATCATCCTGGTTTCACTTAATAGGAACCTCAAAGAATATGGGATGTTCATGAGAGTCCTCAAAGATTCTAGTTTCCAGTTCCACACAGGTTTTTACAGCTAAATCAACACCCCCAAACCATTATGTTTCAACATATTTCATCTAACACTGGAATCAAAAGCTTATGTAATATGCATCTTAAGCCATCAAATTTCCTCTGCATAGGCCCAGATCTGAAGACACTCAAGAAGGTAAGAAATTTCTCTCAGCCAGCACTTACCAGCTGCTTATTGGCAAATTCCTGGCAAGAGAACTGTCAGTAATAAAAGAAGATTTTTTTCAAAAAAAAAAGTCTTGTCAACCAGATATTCCTAACTCTGCCTTATCCTGTATCAAGTCGCTGCCTTATTCAGTATCAAGACCCCTGGCAAACCACAGAAACAGAACCTTACTAGTAAATACTGAATGAAGCCAAAATGGGCCAAACAGTTTTGAAGGCAACTCTAAACGAGTCCTTGTTTGAGTTTTCTCTTTGCTGGTACTGCTAGGTAGCTCCCAATGCATCCAATATTTAAATGATCCCCTCTGGCTTATTTCAAGGGGAAGGCAAATATAAGGAGGGAGCCAGCCATATTAGTATATGAAGAGGGAGCAGATCTAGGAATCCAGAATCAATCTCAATGTAATAGGGAGGTAACTAAGTCTGACCAAGCAGAGAGTTCCTCTGAGGAACACAAAGATGAGAAGGACAATGCTAGATTTCAGAGAATCTTGAAAGTCAGGTAGGGAAATCTGAACTTGACTTAATAGGAAGGACTTACAAACTTTGATCCAGGAAAGAAATATGAGGACAATAACATGAAAAGCATATTATTGAGATAGGAGAAAACAGAAACAAGGGTTTAGTTCCAAAGCTTTTCTAGCAATCCAGTCTGAGATGATGAAGGCCTGAATAGGGGGCTGCTGGTGAAGGGAAGGAAGAAGGAATCCAAAAACCACTTCACAAGAAAGCATAAGTTCACCTTCCTGTACCTTTTAGAATCAGCAAGGCCTCTGAACCTCTGTCACTACTATAAGAGCCATCCAGGAAAGATCATAAGTCTCCATTGCCTTCGAATATATAATTCAGATTTCTTTAGTCAGGTGGAATTTTCACCCAATTAGTCCAAAGTAACTCGTTTTGTTTTTTAATGTAAAGTACAAAATTATACCTACTCCCCATTTTCTATATCCAGATGCCAACCCAACTGGGAAAAATAGCCCAAATTCTACCACACTCTTTTTAAAAGAAAGTAAACCTAGGGGCACCAGGGTGGCTCAGTTAAGTGTCTGCCTTGGGCTCAGATCATGAATCCAGCCTCCTGGGATCAAGCCCTGCATCAGGATCCCCACTCACTGGGGAGCCTGCTTCTCCTTCCCCTGCTCTTGCATGCTCTCTCTCTCTTTCTCCTCCTCAAATAAATGCATAAATTCTTTTTTAAAAAGGAGTAAGTAAATCAAGGTTCAAAATTTAATTGCCCTTCATGTCAAGCAGGCTACTTTGTTTTAACAAACATATATACAGCTAACAAGACTACCATTACCTTTGCCTGACGTATGCCCCAAAAGTTAACCACTGCCAGCATTTTTCTTAGACCTTTATATTTTACCAATGCACTTTTTCCTAAATTATCTCTTTTAATCCTCACAATAACCCTGTGGCAGGGATTATTATTGCTATTTTAAAAACTGAGATAACTCTGGCTCTAAGACTTAAGTTGTCCAAGAGACTACAGCTGTAAGGGTTGGAGTCAAGACTAATTCTTACCTTTGAACCTCACATCTCTTGACATAGCGCTTTCCCTTCCCTCAGAGACCACACCACAATGACAACAAACCCATCCACATGTATCAGTGCCTCTTAAGTTAGGGAACCATCATTTCTAATCTTATTCCAGCATCTTCTGGAACATAGTTAGTCTTCAGTTTCAAAGAAGTAAGACTTCTTTGCTTACCTGGTCCTTCTCCGGTTTATCAGAAATGTCATTCAGACTAGAGGAAGTCAGATTCCTATGGGTCATGGCTGGGCTACCTGAAAAAAACAAAAGCAAACCCTAATTAAAGACTTGTTTTCAAAAACACAAGACTTTGGTTGTATACTTCATAAACACTTGTAGATGATGATGAGAATGGCAATGATGCTTTAGGATCTCCTGAAGAGTTTTCCAGATCACAAGTTGGAGCACAAAGATGGTTAAGTTAGAAGTATGTAAAATCACAAATACCATGTTTAAGTCTTATTGCCTGGGTCAAGTTCAAGATGAGTTCAACTTTGGAAGAAACATCTAAAACAATACACATAAAAATAAATTTACTCCTCATTTGGCTTGCTTTTTTTTTTTTTTTTTTTTTTTTTTTTTGGTCTCTGCCCTTTATATACATCCTAATCTACCTGGTATCCTTTCCTTTTCCCACCTCCTACAGAGATGGCCTTTTTTTTCTTTCTTCATGTCAGCAGTGACGGCCCCAGATTGCAGGCCTGGATCTCTTCTCTTCAAGCCTCTTCCTCTGCAGTCTCTCCAAGGTCATCACTCCCTCTCATCAACCCCAGAACCCATCTGTGTTCCCTTTCCCAGCTGACACTTTAATCAAGAAGATTTCTCCTTGGTGGGCATCTGATCCAGAATCCCCATTCTTTGCCTCAAAGTAGTGCAACCACAGTCCCCTTACTTCTTACATTCCCATTCGCCAGACTCATGTAAGCACATCCCTACTTTCCCCTCACCATGCCAATCTTCTTCTTCACATTAAGGAATGGATTTCATTAGGAATACTTCATGGGAACCAAGCTCCCTGGTGATACAGTGGCTGTAGGTCAAGTCTACTGACAATCCAGCCAATGACTGTAGACACCATTACACAAGAAAAGAGAGGAGGGACATCTAGAAGAGTGATAACCCATCTTCAAGTAGACTATGTTAAGCAAAAGAAAAACATTCTGTTCATTTTGCAGTTGGACCTGCAGTTGGACTTGAAATGTCTAAGCTCACTGAGCAAAATAGTAACTTTTAAAAGCTAGGGTGTTTGACCCAACCCCGGCAGGGTGCTGAGTAATGCATTCATCATTAATCCTCAATGATCTGACTCAGGCTGGCCTTCACACCAAAAGGACAAGGGTTGAAAAACAAGCACCAAAGTTTGAACATAGTTTCACATTTGCTTCCAAATTATTTTTTAGATTATAGACTTTAACTCTTTCAGATAAAAAAGTCAACACATAATTTTACCGCTGACTAAAATCTACTCCTAATAATTTAATCTATAAGTAAAAGCAGCTCTTTAAAGAGTATAATTGTCTTTAACTACTAAATCAGAAAAATCATAATTTTCTTGAGCTGGCAAGACAGGGTATTTTCCACTCTGCTGCATTTCATTGAGTAAGCATGGCCTAGATCTCTTAAACCCTTTACCTGGTGGGACATTTTATTCTAGGAAAATCTGAGCACAGGGCATTTTTCAAAGGAAAGTTACATCTAAAAAAATGCTTTATGAGCAAAATTAAAAGAACCTTTTTGAAGGCGACATTTTCTTCTTTGAACTACACACCAGGTTTCCAGCGTGCACTCAAAACAAAAGACACCAGGTACAAACGTGAATGTTCCCCAACAATGCTGGGCTTGAAAGTAATAGGAAATGATGAGTAGCTCTAATTTTGCACCTCACATTAGAAGTAAAAGCAGTTATTTGGACTAGCTGGGTGAAAATTCTACCTGAATAACTGAGGAAATCTGAACCATATATTCCTAAAGCAATGACGCCTTCACAATCCTAATCATAAATTAAAAGCAGTTTATGAAAATTAATAGATAAGACTTATTTCTAATTACCAAATCAATTGATGTAAGTGGCAAAACTGAAATAATCTGAAAGAAGTTTCATTAAGTAATTTAAATTTTGTGGGAAACATCCTAAGTTCTTTCATTTGCTTTGGAAACTATAAACACTGCAAAGGTACATTTTAGCCAAAGCACTGTCCTACTGCTGCAAAATCTAAATAGGTAGAAGTCAAATGAATAAAGTTTTTATTACAATGGTAATCTTGACTGATATCACAACTTTTCCAAGAAACCTCATTTACTGCCTCATCATTTCTCCCATGATAGTACGGATGTATTTGTACTAGACAGGGGGTCCAAAGAAGGCACAGGTCCAAGGAACATGGAGGAACTAGATGAGGGAAAGTAGGCCAATGTTAAGAAATAACCAAATCTCAACCACAAGAAAAAGTTTGGAAGGAATTCAAACACTTGGAAGCTAAAGACCATCCTGCTCAAGAAAGTCTGGATAAACCAGGAAATCAAAGAACTTAAACAATTCATGGAAACCAATGAGAATGAAGACACATTGGTCCAAAACCTATGGAATATGGCAAAGGCAGTCCTAAGGGGGAAATAATAGCCATCCAAGCCTCACTCAAAAAAACTGAAAAATCCCAAAAACACCAACTCTCTTTACACTTCAAAGAACCAGAAAATAAAGAACAAATTAAGCCAACCCCACACACAAGAAGGGAAATAATAAAGATTAGAGCAGAGATCAATGAGTTAGAAACTAGAGATATAGTAGAACACATCAATGAAACTAGAAGCTGATTCTTTGAAAGAATCAGTAGGATTGATAAACCACTGGCCAGACTAATCCAAAAGAAGAGAGAGAGGACCCAAATTAATAAAATTATGAATGAAAGGGGACAGATCACTACTAACATCAAGGAAATAGAAACAATCATCAGAAATTATTATCAACAGTTATATGCCAATAAGTTAAGCAACTTAGAAGAAATGGTTGCATTCCTGGAAACGTATAAACTTCCAAGACTGAAACAGGAAGAAACTGACAACCTGAATAGACCAATATCTAGTAACGAGATTGAAGCAGTGATCAAAAACCTCCCAAAAAAACAAGAGTCCAAGGCCTGATGGATTCCCTGGGAAATTCTACCTAACATTCAAAGAGGAATAATACCTATTCTCCTGAAGCTGTTTCATAAAACAGAAATCGAAGGAAAGCTTCTAGACTCTTTCTATGAGGCCAGCATTACCTTGATCCCCCAACCAGGCAAAGATCCCACCAAAAAGGAGAAATTCTGACCAATATCCCTGATGAATATGGATGCTAAGATTCTCCACAAGATCCTAGCAAATAGGATCCAACAGTACATGAAAAAAATTACCCACCATGACCAGGTGAGATTTATCCCTGAGATGCAAGGGTGGTTCAACATTCGCAAATCAACCAACACAATAAAACAAATCAATAAGAGAAGAAAGGAGAACCACATGGTCCTCTCACTTGATGCAGAAAAAGCATTTGACAAAATACAGCATCCTTTCCCGATTAAAACTCTTCGAAGTATAGGGATAGAGGGAACATTCCCCAACTTCATAAAATCTATCTATGAAAACCTACAGTAAATATCATTCTCAATGAGGAAAAGCTGACAGCATTCCCACTGAGATCAGGAACACAATAAGGATGCCCACTCTCACCACTGTTGTTCAACATAGTACTAGAAGTCCGAGCAACAGCAATCAGACAATGAAAAGAAATAAAATGTATTCAAACTGGCAAAGAAGAAGTCAAACTCTCTCTCTTCACAGATGACATGATACTTTACATGGAAAATCCAAAAGACTCCACCCCTGAATTACTAGAACTCATACAGAAATTCAGTAATGTGGCAGGATACAAAATCAATGCATAGAAATCGGTTGCTTTCTTACACACTAATAATGAGAATATAGAAAGGGAAATTAGAGAATCAATTCCACTTACTTAAAGCACTAAGAACCATAATATACCTGGGAATAAACCTAACCAAAGAGGTAAAGGATCTGTACTTGAGGAACTACAGAACACTCATGAAAGAAACTGAAGAAGACACAAAAAGATGGAAAAATATTCCATGCTCATGGACCAGAAGAATAAATATTGTTGGGTCGCCTAGGTGGCTCAGTCATTAAGCATCTACCTTCGGCTCAGGTCATGATCCCAGGGTCCTCAGACAGAGCCCCGCATCAGACTCCCTGCTTGGTGGGAAGCCTGCCTCTCCCTATCCCACTTCCTCTGCTTGTGTTCCCTCTCTCGCTATGTCTCTCTCTGTCAAATAAATAAGTAAAATCTCAAAAAAAAAAAAAGAATAAACATTGCTAAAATGTCTATACTGCCCAGAGCAATCTACACCTTCAATGCCATCCTGATCAAAATTCCACCAGCATTTTTCAAAGTGCTGGAACAAACAAACCTGAAATTTGTATGGAACCGGAAAAGACCCCGAATCACTAAGGAAATGTTGAAAAAGAAAAACAAAATTGAGGGCATCATGTTGCCTGATTTCAAGCTTTACTACAAAGCTGTGATCACCAAGATAGCATGATACTGGCACAAAAACAGATACATAGACCAATGGAACAGAATAGAGAGCCCAGATATGGACCCTCAACTCTATGGTCAAATAATCTTTGACAAAGCAGGAAAAAATATCCAGTGGAAAAAAGTCTCTTCAATAAATGGTGCTGGGAAAATTGGACAGCTATGTATAGAAGAATGAAACTCGACCATTCTCTTACACCATACACAAACACAAACTCAAAATGGATGAAAGACCTCACTGTCAGGCAGGAATCTATCAAAATCCTAGAGGAGAATATAGGCAGTAACCTCTTCAACATCAGCCACAGCAACTTTTTTCAAGGTATGTCTCCAAAGGCAAAGGAAACAAAAGCAAAAATGAACTTTTGGGACTTCATCAAGATCAAAAGCTTCTGCACAGCAAAGGAAATAGTCAACAAAACAAAGAGGCAACCCACTGAATGGGAGAAGATATTTGCAAATAACACTACAGACAAAGGGCTGATATCCAAGATCTATAAAGAACTGCTCAAACTCAACACCTAAAAAACAGATAATCATATCAAAAAATGGGCAGAAAACATGAACAGACCCTTCTCCAAAGAAGACATACAAATGGCTATCAGACACATGAAAAAATGTTCATCATCGTTAGCCATCACGGAAATTTAAATCAAAACC